CACGACGAAAAACAAACAACGTAGGCTAGATAATGCACATCAACTCATCACTGTGAAACGGATATTTCAAAAAATCAGAATTGCTGTTTGAAATTCATTGATTCATTGAAAAGGATAGCCTACCAATATTTCAATATTTAACGTTGTCATTCAAAATAATTTTCCTATGAAAACATTATTCGTCTTAAATGTAATTATTTTCATTTAAAAGATTACAAAGCCTCCAATGTGGAATTTTATTCTTTCAGGGTATATGCGTTAAAAACCAGTTCATCGAACTGAAGCAAAAACTTTTACTCAGCAAAGAGGACTTTCAAGTCATTCACGGAGCTATCATTCAACAGCATGTTATTGATGTTAAATATTGGGACAAACACCTTGGAACAATTTGATTTAATTTTTGCAAAATTCATTGTTTTAATTTAAATAAAAAATCTTGAAATCAATCAAAGCAATTTATATAATAACAATTGTAACGATCTATTTTGTTTTGCGTTCTTCTGTTGATATGTACATAGTTAAACACAAATAACTTGTAAGGGCGATGATGCAAGTCGTAAAGCGCACGTTATGGTCTTTCTTGAAATTTTAACAAATCTTCCTTGCGTGTGTGTTGAACAGTGATGACGTAAATACTCAGAAAATGTACTTAAATATTAGTACTAAAAAAAATTGAATACTTATAGGTACCTAAGTACATACCATAGTTAATTTGAAATCATCAAAACGTAAACAAAAACACTTTTAAACAATAATCACGTGTTGAGTTATAGAAATAGTTTACCCAATGTTGACATAGCAATTAATCAAATATATTTATATAGCTTACAATCTATAATTCAATGACTCTCTAGCCAAATTAGCAAAATGAAGTGTTTCCGACTAGTGTTAAATAATAACAAGGAAATAGAGTAGGTGTTTCATGTACAGCTTATAAAAGACGAATTTAATTTCTTAGCATGTGTTTGTGACCTGCGTCATAGATGTCTCTTTCTTGTAATACGTTTAGTGGAATCGAAAGATTTCATAATAGAGCTTGTGCTGACTGGTTCAGTTGTTAAGAAAAATTTTATTAGGATCTGAAATAATTTGAAGTTTTTTGGTGCTACTGATAGCTTCTGATTGACTTTGTGTTCTAACATTTTAATTTAGGTTATTCTGTTATTAATCTAATAATTATATTATTGTTAACATTATCATCATCATCTCTATTATTATTATCATCATCATCTTTATTATCATTATTTATTAATATTGTTATCATTGTCCTCATCATATGACACTATACCATCTTCTTATTTCATGCATACACATAGGCAAGGTGGTGTTAGTTGCAACTAAAACTTTCAATTTTGCGATCATTCTTGCTACAAAATGATCACGTTTAATCTGATTTTACTTGTTTTTCTTGAAACTAAATCGTACATTTAGATTAATTTTTGTAATTTATAAATAATTTAACAATAATAAATAATAATAATAACAATATAATAAGAAGAATAATAACATAAAATAATAATACTAATTTAATAGCTAGATAATGTAGCATCAATCACACGCGAACATGCGTATTAAATATGAATATATATATTATATGAAATAAAATGTCAAGCGTCAGATCTTGTATCAATAGGATTTACTAATAGCAGTGCGCTGCCATGTGTCATTGTCCTTTGCTATTTTAACAATGTTGCTATTTTAGAGCTGTAGTAGTAGTAATAGTTGTAGTAGTAGTAGTTATAATAGTGGTAGCACTAGTAGTAGTAGTAACAGTAGTATTAGTAGTAGCAGTAGTTAAATTAGCCAGCTTGCTGGTATTTTGATCCATTAAAACGCGTATTTTAAATAGCGGTAAACGTTCGAGTACAGTTTTTTAACAAGTGTGCATTAGAGTTAATAAAAAGTCAGTTCAATATTAATGATAACAAAGAAAAAATATGATTTGTCTAGTTGAAATCGAGAATTAATAGATTCGTATTGCAAACTGACCCGCAAACATTTATCAATGCTTCTTGTTGGACACCAGAAAAAAATATTCAGTGTCTTTCAGAATGTCAATCAATTCAGAATGTCTATCAAAACTTTATCAAACTTACATACAACGCGACTGCTTTGGGATGTGGTCTACCAGTCAGTAGTTGTATGATTTTTGAAAAAATGATTCAACAGAAGTATTATCTTCATTGCTTACCATAATTTTTGGAGTCTTCGATTGCACACATGTGATTTACATACTTCCATACTTAAGTACTCGTCATTAGTAGTGTTGAATTACTAAGCAAACACCTGTTTTTTTATGTCTGAAGGAGATTTCACCTTTCAAGTTCAATTTTTACTCTGTTTCGTTGAAGCTGAGTTTTGAACTTTCAAAATTAATTTTCTCGAATTCGAAAGCTGTAATGTTTTACAATATTATTAGTTTATTTTCTTATATTTGTTACTGGAAACATTCCTTAATTTCGATAACACTCGAAAGATTTTCGGTACTGCTCTCTTTTATCACTTTGCCGATGAACCGGCTGCAACTGTATATTTACGCTGTGCTGCTTCGCTAATTCTAGAAAATGAATTTGATGCTAAAAGCTTAACATTGCAGTGCCACATATAGCTGCCACTTTGCACCTGCGGCTACTTTTTCCAGTACTTAATCCCTTTAGGCAATGTATGAATTAGCGAAGGTCAAGCATGTATTGCAAAATCCAAATGAAGCCTGTAATACATATTTTGTAAATATCCTGAAACTATCTGGATCAAGACTGTGGAAATGCCATTATTTTTTTGGTAGACCACAATAACAATAAAAATAACATTGAGACCACAATAACCATAACAAAAATAAAATCGACTGAAAATTTTATTTACCGCCAAACTTTTCATTATATTGCAATGTAACTGCAAAGAAGTTTCACACAGCAGTGTAAGCAATTAAGCATTAATTTTATTTTATGTAGGTATTCCACTTGAACGGGCGTAAGTAGTTCTTGAAACCAAATCCAATGTATCTAGTTCATACAACTCCATTCTTTGCGCAACTACAACTCGCGACTATAAACCAGTGACTCTTTGACCCACACACAAGCTTGCACATATGTTAGTTATTTTTTTGTGGCTTTAAATGTGTCGAATTGATTAGCGTTTGTAAGTTTTCTCAACATTTTATTTGAAAGTCATAAAAAGAAAAATATTCTACGGCAACAAAATGGAAATTAATTTTTTACAACTAATACAATCAAAATATAGTTTCATGTAGAAGAAAAAATTTATTATAATTCTAGTAAAGTCGATGTGTTTGTTAATCATTTAATACGTCTAACTTGAGTATAAAATTAAAACCGAATAAATAAAAAAAGGCACATTAACAAATTGAGAAAAAAATATGAAGCGTAGAAACAAAAAAATTATTAAACGCACGAAAGAGTTAAATCGAATCATAGCATTAAAATAAATATCCTATAAACAAATAGTTAAATCTGTTTAACTGCCTGAATTTAAAAGACACGATGGCTTGGCCCTTTGTATAAAGCCTGTTTAAAAAATATTTAAAATTTCAATTAATTTATCTGTAAAAAATCTTTAATTTATTTAACATGTTGCAAATTCAATCAGGTTTCAATCATTTAATTAGATTTATCCATTCGATTTTTCTGCTCACGTTTAAAGAACTTGGTGAATTGAATTTTGACCTTATAGAATGCATTTTCAAAATAAAACACGTCAAAGTATTGTTGAGAAGAATGAAACATTTTTGTCAAAGTGTTCATGTCATATTAGCGGCATCATGACACCAGCATTGAAAACATTTGATCTCCCCGCACAACAAAATTTTCTTTTTTTGATCCTGACCAAGTCTCACAATCAATTAGCTTGTAAAGCGCTATTTCCGCGATGTTCAACAGCGCTTTTCTGTGAATTTTACAGATGGGTCTTGAGATCCGCTCTGAACTTCGCAAGTTACGGAGAAGGAGGACAATTTCCAGAAAAAAGAGCCAAAAAAGCAAACGCAGATTTAGCATAAGAGTGTTTAACGAGTTAAGAAAAAGCACTATTACAGATAAACTAATATTTTTTCTAAATTCAATTATTTAGAAATCAGCTGCTTCTTGAATGACTTCTTTTTGAGTTTTTATTAATGAACAAAACCTCTGAAGCCGTATGCCACCTTTTCTATAGCAGTTCTAATGAGTCGATGCATGTAATGTGATTCAATTCTTATTAAGACGTTTCCCCATAATGGAGTTGACAAAAACACTTATTCACAGTTTTGTCTGTAGTAGAATTGATTACTCAAACTCAATAATGTATGGAGTTAACTGTTCCTGCAGGACTGCGTTCAATCGATGTTAAACGCTGCAGCAAGAATGGTGGCCGGCGTATCAAAATTTAACTCTATCTTAAAATACATGCAAGATGATTTACATTGGCTACGTTTCCGGTGAGGATTAAATTCAAAACTGCACTGTTGGTCAGAGATTGCCTAAATGGCGAGGGTCCGCTTTATCTGAGTGAACAGCTGGTGCCGATGTCGGGAGTTCAAGGACGCAGTCATTTGAGGTCATCAGACCATGGGGATTTGGTCAATCCGATATTCAAATTGACAAATTTTGGAAAGGAAGATTTGCAGTGGTTGCGGCAGAAGTTTCGAACTTCTGAAATACAGCTGAAGAATGGTTCTATTACCGAAAGGTCTCGATTCAAAAGAATTTTGAAGCATCATTATTTCAGCAATGGGCCCATCAGAAAGCGCTTCTGATGCCTTTCAAGAGAGGCGCTATACAAATTTTTGATACTACTGATACTAAGCAAAACTTCATTATTCATCTAACATAATTTTGCTCTTTCGTCACTAATAATTTTCAAGTTTCAAACTGTTACGCGATGCGACTGAAAATGCTCTTTAACGTAACTTTTGACAACATCATCAGTGAAACTAGAACCTATGTTCATTTAGGGAAGCATAAACTTATATAACAGTAAAGTAACACTGATCAATCAGTCCTCGATTAAAGTCTCCATCCGTTATGGGTCAAATGTTCTGCCCTCTTCTTGAAATAAGTGTTCAACAGGGAGAGTTCATGGCTTTCAGCAAATTCCAGAAATCGTATACCGTCTTCGTTTTGAGACCCGTAGCTAAAGCCTCCATGGACACCGTGGAACCCATTTGCTTTATTTCCAACATGGCCGTTAAGGTCGCCAAGTATCAATGGTATCTCTGATGATGGTGTTTTCCTGACGGCATCTGAGAGTGTGTTCCAGAATTCATTTTTGGTGTCTTCAGATTCACCGGTCTGTGGTGCATATGCAGAGAAAACAGTCAGAACCTGTTTTCCCATTCTGAGTTTAATCAGCATTAGACGTGAGCTGATTCGAACTACCTCCAGTACATTTTGTGCCAGTGATTCCCGTATGAAGATTCCCACTCCATTTTGGGCTGTCTTTTAGCCATTCCAGAACAACTTAGTAACGGAATGTAACACTGATGACGGCAGCAAAAAATGTACACACACGCACTCGCGCATACACACAGATATACACATTACACACACACACACACACACACACACACACACACACACACACACACACACACACACATATATATATATATATATATATATATATATATATATATATATATTACTATTTTTTAAAGCTTGTTCAGTTCAATGACGACAAATGATTGTCGAAAAAATGCTTTTTATGTTATCATGTTCATATATATTTAAACACAATGCAAACAGTGAATGAAAAAACATTTTATATAACAAAAACCATTTTATATAACAAAAACAACGTATGTAACAAGTTTTAACCTAAAAGAACATTATAATTTTCTGTTGACCATAAGAGACATTTCCAAAATGCAAAACCATCATTTTTTAAGCATTGGCAAGACATTTATGAATATTTTGAATAACAAAATAATTTATTAACAGAAAGTTAATCAGTGGCGTAGTCAGTATAAAATGGGCCCTGGATAACCACCTCATTAAAAAACCTCTTGACTGAAATTGTTATATATGTGCAATAAATTTTAAGTCATGAAATAAATTACAAACAGTAAAAAAATAAATTTTACAGGTGTTTTCACTACAAAGAAAATAAAATCATTGCAAAAAGTAAATTGTCAAAAAATGTTAAAATTCGTCAACTTTTTAGGTTTTGTAACAGCAAACTTTTTTGATTTCTTTGAAGTCTAAGCTGTTCATTTCGTTTTTTCACATACGGCAACGCATAGTTATAAAAACGTCGTCGACTCATAATAGCTCTAAATTTATTTAGTATTAATTTTAATTTGCTGAATGATCTCACACAAGTTACCTACTATAAATATTTGCATATATTTAGCAAAAATTTGAAGCGCAATTCTTTGAAAAACTTCACTAATAAGCAACATACTACAACAAATTCTACTATGGACTTTACTTTATTATGATAAATATGATATCTATAAGAAGATAATGAACACTTAATTTATTATGAGCACGCTTAGTGAATGAACAATGAGAACAAAATTTGTTCGTTTGAAATTTTATATGATTTTTAATTGTTGTTCAAAAGTCCTGATTGAAGTTTTCAATGTGTTATTTTTAATATATGATTATAATTAATCCATTACAAAAGAATGCGCCCTCTTGAAATGGCGCCACAGGCTATCCAGTTCATCCCTCGCTACGCCACTGATATGTTAATAAATATCCAATGGCAGTAATACAAACTTTTAGAATGTTTAACAGCATTGGGGTTGAAACTGAATTCAGCGTTGAAAGAAGTTGGCGAGAAGGGGCTGAGTGGATATGCTAATTCAACTGTCTGATGACCCAAACCAATCTTCATTCGATGAAGCTCTATCTTTAAATTTCCAGACAAAATCTAAAAACAAGAAAACCAGAAAGTTTTAAAGAATGCTGAAAACAAAAATGAATGTTATGCATGTTAAATTTTCAAGAACACGTTTGTTAACATAACCACTGTTAAACATTAACAGAAAAGATTTCAAAATACTTTTCTGAAATTAGAAAAAATTTAAAAATAGGCTAAAGAATGATTTATTCACAATTGTGTAATATAGCCTTGGAAAACTCATCGCGATAAATGTTTAACCATTAATCCGTAATGATTGATATTCGGGACAAGGAAGAAAATAAATTTATTTTATCATTTATATTTAAAATAACATAAATTTTAACTTTATCACTCGACTTAATTTCTTGGACAGTTAGTGGCGTATCTAGGAGAAGCCGGGGGTGCCCCGTTGTGAGATTTTTAGGGTAATGAGTATGTAATTTCATTATTTAAAAAACTTCTCCCCGATTTTAACCCAGCCAGGGAAATGGATACTTTGTGCAGATTGAGGTAAAAAATCCAACCTGAACAAAAGGCCAGACTTGTGCTAATAAAATTAAATAGTCAATCGATTAAAAATTTGCTCTTTGCAAATTGTTATAAATTATGAAATTAATTCAAATATAAAATCATTTTCATAAATCACTATTTAGTTCAAGATAGGAATCTGTGTCGTAAGCTGATAGCAGAAAAAAGAAGAGTTTAGTAGTGAAGCAAAAAATATGGTGGTAAAACTGAAAAGACAACTAAGTAATTTTTACGTTGTTGCTTTCAAAAAGTCAAATTTATAGATTCATCTAGGTCAAGTAGTAAAGTACGAATATCCCCGGGAAAGAAAAACTAAAAGTTACAATCATTTATTCAAACGTTGATTGTCTGTCATCCAAAGTTTCAGAATTCAAATGATATCTAACACAGCTGAGCAGTTTGCCTGACATTATAGTCCTGACGGAGGCAAACCTAAACATTACACAGTTGCACCATTACCCTTGGAATACTACATACCAGGTTACAATGTAATGTTTGAAGAATTATGGTTTTGAGAAAAATAGAGGAATTGCAGTCTATTGCTTGAAGGATCATCATTTAACAGAATTAGATACCAAGTCAAATTTCAAATAATATCTTTGCTGCAGAATGAAGAGTCATACATCATTTTTCAACATGCTAGCGATATACAAAAGTCCAGAGGCAGAAAAAATTACAGATCATGGTTTACAAATAAACTCCAAGTTGATTTTCAACGGTCATGTTTTTCAGACTGCTAGAAAAGCAAACAGAATGGTTGGTTTGCTAAAACGTAATTTCAAAAATGCACTTAGCGCAGCTTTTTTGCTTCTTTATAAATCTATGGTTAGGGCAACTCTGGAGTATGGTGTGGTTGTGTAGTACCCCTTTAGAAAATACCAAATTAAACACTTATAAATGGTGCAGGAAAAGAATCCAGAATACCACTCTAATGCAGAGGATTAAAAGACGAGGAGAGGACAGGTTAAAGCTTCTGGGGTGGTCTTTACTGGTTTACTGACGCAGAAGAGGAAACATGATATCAACTTATCAATTGCTTATAATGGACTACTGGATGTCGATATCAACAAGACTACGCACCTACAATGGCGACAAGAGGAAATGGTATGAAGTTGATTAAGTGGACTTGCAGAAAAGATGTTAAAAAGTATTACTTCACCAACAGAATAGTAAATGACTGGAATGGCCTACCTAAAGATGCGGTCAAATCAGCCAAAATTACTAGCTTCAAGATAGCCTTAGATGAATTTTGGCAAAGTGAATTCTTATATATGGAAGTAAAGGTGTCAAACCAAAAGATGTAAAGTTAAACTGAACATTTTCAACCAAACATTTTAATTATTTGAATTATTTATTCCTAAAAATCTGTTTACACTATGGTGGCAAATGGCTTTGCCTGCGCTGCAAATTTATTCTATTCTATATATAGATTTGACGAAATAACTGTTGGGAGGCAATAAAATTGTTTTCAAAGTAAATTTCATTGAACATTGAAATCAATCAAACAAATTTTCATCGTGCAATTTTTAGTATTATTTAGGAGATTGTTTCATGATGAACCTTGATAAGGAGAACAGCTTCTTCTGATGGCAAATCTTCTAAAACTACATCGTTAACTGAATATATTTCATCACCCACTAGCCATTCTTCTTCTTCATCAATTGATCTATTTTTTTTCAACTTGCAAAAATAATATTATAATTTGTAAATTTTTGATACACTTTAATTATATTTTGTACGAAATATTGCCAAGAAAAATGCGTAAGAGAACAGAATTCAACCGAGATCAGCCTCAGTTGAAGCAACTTAAAATTTATTTCAACAGGAGCAAATAAAAATGACTTAACTGACCACACTAGTGATAGCTAGACCTTTATTATTCCAAACTGATGCAACTGAAAAACCAAGAAATTTACCGGGCCTTTTCACAACATTTACGATTAATTGCTCTTTATGAAAATGCATTTCTTTCAGTCGGTTATAATCAACGAACTGAATGTTGGAATTCACTGCGCTGCTCATAATCAACAGTTTTATGGTATCCACGCGCTTTCGCAACTCCATCATCACTTCTCTGTTTGAAAGGCTAGATGCTTTTTTGTCGTTTATCTAAACAATACAATAAATGTTATTCTCATCTGTTATAATACGCGTAAGAAATTAAATAACATAATCAAACAACAGAACAGATTTAAACAACGGACAAAATGTTGAGATGATTATAGAATGCAGAGGAGCGCAGTTGAGGTACTTATCTACTAACTATCTATGCAATTTGACTTCATATAAACTTTAAATTATGTTGGTGAAACGCAGTTGACTAATTGCGCTAAGCAGATGAATATAATTGGTTTATTAAACCACCCATTTCTTATGTCGTGACCACGAGGATTGGACTATTGCTTTTAATAAAAATGCATTGCTCCAGACACATAATGAAAAAATATCGTCTCGATGAAGTGCTAAATTAAATTTTGTGATTAAAATCGTAATGAAAATGAGGACATAACATACTTCAACGATTTGATCACCAATTTGAATGCGACCATCCTTCTTTGCAACACCATCTTCATAAATCTCGTACACAATAATTTCTTTCTGTTAAAAAAGAAACGATAGACATTTGAGCGCATTATTTAGAATACCACTTTACTAGAGACGCACCGAATGTTCGGCCAGGCCGAACATCATCTTCGTCTTTAGCCATTATATGCTGAATAGCCTTATATTGTAATATTTGTTTAAACCATCACTTTTTTGGATTTTAGAACAATAAATTTTGATTATTAATAGCAGAAAATTTATTTTGGCCATCATAGATAAAGATTTGTTAGATAAACACGACTCGTCTACTTTTTTCAATAACTTGTTTTTCATTCTACAAAATTAATTTTTCTCCAAAATTGCGGGTTTATTAGTATAGCGGATCAACTATTCGGCCATCGATCAAGTTCACTAATCGGTGCATCTCTGCACTTTACCTGAAAAAAGTTAATTATTTTATTTATTTTTTTCATTTAAGTATAAAAACTAAGCTAATAAAACAACTGAACATAAACTATTTCTAATGTGTTATGAAGTTCGCTAGGTCAGGTAGTCTCGAATAAGCATGACGAAATGGAACAATCTATTACAATATTTACGATACGTACCAATGACATATCATTTCCACCGACAACTTTGATTCCGAGAGCCTTTGAACCTTTATGAATTTCTATGCAGGATAATTTTCCAATTTTTAAAGGCAGTCGTTTCGAGTCCTTTTCTAAAAACTTCCGATCGTCTGAAGCTAAATTGTTTTAATCATTTGTTAACACAAAAAAAACAATCAATAAAGTCTATTTACAGTCTAAATTTTCCAATTTTTTTAATGCTTTCCTTTCTGGCTTTAGAAGACAGATTTCGTTTTCAGTAGATTCATTAGGAGAATCATTTACGCTACTTTCAAAAGTCTCCTAAAAATGATATAAATACAAATAATATTAATAATATATGAAAAAGTTTGAAAGCAAAAATTATAGCAATAAGTTTTATAAAACTATAAAAAAATGTATCGCAATAAAAATTCTGTAGAAACCCCTAACTATATGAGATGATAAGTTACTTGCACAATCTTTCACCAGAACTTGTGGACAGTTCTCTTCCTGGTAATGAAATGAAGCGCGTATAACACCCACAAATTTTAAAAAAATTAATATTTTTCAAAGTATGGAGGAAGCGGATTACGAATAAACTCATGCAAATAATGATAATTGTGCGTCCAGAATAAATAATTCGTGAAGAGTATGCAAACATATTTAAAAAAATATTAATCAACATGGCCAGTATTATTAATATATTCAAGTTATTTAATATAGCGTTATTGTATGTTGTAAATAAAGCTAATTTATATGTTTCTCATACTCTATTCCTTCAAATAATGTTGCGACGAGAAAGGTAGGAGAAAACAAAGGCGCAATATAATTGAGTAAGGGTATCTTGATCGAGTTTATGACTTAATTTAAAAAGAATGCAAGCTAGTTAGATGCATTTTTTAGTTTTTATGGAAATTTTTTAATACTGTAGATGGTGTCATCTAGACGGTGTAAGAAAATTTCAGAAGATTCTCAAACAATCAAACATTTCTAAGACTGCGTCGAAAATTCGGAGACTACGTATAAGCGTGTGCTTACGGGGTGATACAAAGTGAAATTGCTGCCTGAATAGCGGTACCATACCCAACACTCACGATACTCAAACTCGATGTCCCGCACTCGATATTTGTTAATTTGATTATTGTTAGATAGAAGTTGTATACTAAATTTTAAATAATGAAATGTAGTTTTGCACATAAATAATGTTCAAATTTTTCCATCGAAAATCATACAAGCCTGTCTTGCAAGTTACAACAATACTTTAACACAAAATTTTCAAGTTGGTTCAAAAGAAATAATTGAAATTTTAAAAAAATTGTAATTTATTCCTTCGCAAAAACGCAATTATTTTACTCAGTAAACGATGCAGTTATAAACTAAAGCATAAACAAATTATACCAACCATGTTTGAAAACTCTTTCGGCGAAATTGCTATTTGTCCGATATAACTATCAGACCTGAAAGTTTTACAAATCTTAGATTGAGCTAGCCATCGAGAGCAGCAATATTACAACTATAAAACCTATGTAACAATAACAATAACAAACATTTGAGCTGTAAGTTAATCTGTTGAACACCACAAAGTTGAATGTATATATCTTTATTGTAAAGAGATTAACATTTTCATTCTTTATTAACAATAGCCTCGTTAACAATGGCTGCATACAAACAGACAGCGATTCTTAATGCATAACAATTTCAAACTACGTGATTGCTTATAATATATATCATAATATTAAATTTTACGAATAATTGAATTTTTAAGAATTTACTTCAGCATATTTCCCGATATGCAGTTAAAGAGGATTGCACAATTGAATTGGATATACAATTTTAATTACGCCACTAATTGCATTCAATTCAAAAATTTTATCATGTCATTTTCACCTTTTAGAAATGTGTTAAAATACATTTCAAGCAATTCATAACAGTAAGATGCTGTTTAAATTTTAATAATTATAATTATTTTGCAACATTTTGCATTTGATGTATCCTCTGTTGTGCAGCCACGCTAGGTAATTCGATGTCTTTTCAACGTCTGCAACCATGAACTCGTATGAATAATTTGTACGTGAATGCACCAATGCTACTGTGCAATTAATAGATTCAGCGCGTAATTAATTAAAAAGCGATTATAACGTGTCGGTGTTTTAACATCTCATTTGTTGGACGATAAAACTACCAATTAAGTTTGCCAAAAGTAGTTTTAAAAAATGCGCATGTAAAATAATTTTCCTTTGCATCAACAATATTTTCGAATTCGTTCATTTTAATCAAATTCAAATGTCAACTCGCCTCAAGTAGTATTTTTATATCTGATCTGCAAGTTGTTTATATTCAATTACTTTGCCCATATATATATATATATATATATATATATATATATATATATATATATATATATATATCACTGTGATGTTGATTGCAGTGTCAAGAATGAAATGGTCTATTACCAACATATATATATATATATATATATATATATATATATATATATATATATATATATATATATATATATATATATATATATATATATATATATATATATATA